TTAACTGTCCTCACATTTCTAATAACTGTCCTCATCCCTCCAATTACCTGTGCTCACATCTCCAATTACCTGTCCTCACGCCTCTAATTATTAACCTCACATTTCTAATTACTATGCCTCACACCTCCAATTAACTTTCCTCACACCAATAATTACTGTCCTCAAGCCTCCAATTAACTCCTCACACCTGCAATATGTAATTAATTATGAGGTGTTTCATTAAAACACACCATTTCACCGAGCTATTACGAAACAAAATTAATATTACCTCTGTCTTGTTCACATTAATACCTGTCCTTGATTTCCAATTAGTATTATCTTTTCTGATACCTATATTACGCATTTAATTAGTAAATATCTCACCGAAAATACCTCCTGTAATATCCGCTACTTAAAATCTGGTTTCGCGAAATTGGATTAGATTATAATTGGCTTCCGCGAAATTATCCCCCGGGAAAATGTCTTCCAGGTGACTTTCATCATCTACCTGTACGTAAACTCTTTAATTATCTCCACCTGCTAATGGTTTAAGTAATTGTTGCTGCTTTCCGTTCTTCATCCTTCTCCCCGCTGAGCTAGTAGTGATGCGGGGCTATTACCTTGACGTGTGCGCGTGTGTGTGTGTGTGTGTGTGTGTGTGTGTGTGTGTGTGTGTGTGTGTGTGTGTGTGTGTGTGTGTGTGTGTGTGTTGTACGTGTGCGTGAATGCGTCGGTATATGCGTACATTTACACAGGTCCATCGACGTATGATTGTGTCATTGAGTGCATGTGCCAGTCAATGAATAAATGCTGTGCGTCAGTGATTTAGATTGAGTGAGTGAGTGAACGCGTCAGTGAGTTAGAAGAGTGAGTGAGTGAGTGAACGCGTCAGTGAGTTAGTGAACGCATCAGTGAGTTAGAAAAGTGAGTGAGTGAGTGAGTGAGTGAGTGTTGCCATGCCTCTCACGCTTCCTTGTTCCAAACTTATCTCGGGGGTGAAGTTAAGACGCTTATATTGTCTTCACACGCCTAAGAATATTCCCTCAAAGTTGTTTATCAAAGGGAAGAAAGACGCCTTAGGAACAAACCTCTACACGCACCTTGTCTCACAGAGTTTTCCATGTCTTGTGAGTACTAGAGAGGTGATATTATGAGTAAAAACCTAACCTGACCTGACCTGACCTAACCTAACATGACATGACCTGACCTGACCTAACCTGACCTGACCTGACCTGACCTGACCTGACCTGACCTGACCTGATCCCCTTTGTAAGTAAACGTGATTTTCTCGAGTACATTTATACCATTTGGTCCTCTTTCCTTCTCAATTCCTCTTCTCTAACCCCTCCACCTCTCTTCCTCTTCAACTCCTCCTCCTCTTCAACTCCTCCTCCTCCAACTCCCCCTCCCCTCCCCTCCCCCTCTCCCTTAACCCCTACCCATCTTCTCCTCACCCTCAACCTCTCCACCTCCCTCACCTCCTTCTCACCCTCACCTTCTTTTCCCCTCCTTCACCCTCTTCTTCCCATCTCCCTCTACCTCTCCACCTCTACCTTCCTTCTTCCTCAACCCCTCTACCTCCCCCCACCTCATCTTCACCGTCTCCACCTTTCCTCTTCCTTAACCTCTCCACCTCCTCTTCACCCTCAACCTCTTCACCACCACCCCTCCCACACCACCCCTCCCACCCACACACCACCCCTCCCACACCGGTTAAGTAGCTCTCTTCAAATCTCAATACTTCATTAAGCTACCTCCCCCTCCCTCCATCCTTCCTCCCTCCCTCCCTCCCTCCTCTCCCTCCCCTCCCTCCCTCCTCCCTCCCTCCCTCCTTCCCTCCCCTCACTCCCCTCCTCTCCCTCCCTCCCTCCCTCCACCGTGGCTTCTAAAACCTGAACTCTTTTCTTTTGTGAACTTTGACCCTTCGACGCTGACACAGTGAACCCTGACCTCCGAATAACAATGGTGGCCTTGCATACTGAAGTGAATCTTTGGAACCCTTTTACTGAACATTTTGAACCATGATACTGAACTTTTGAACCCTGACACTGAACCTGTCATATTGTACCTTTTGAACATTGACACTGAACCCTGTCATATTGTACCTTTTGAACCCTGACACTGAACCCTGTCATGTTGTACCTTTTGAACATTGACACTGAACCCTGTCATATTGTACCTTTTGAACCCTGACACTGAACTTTTTGAGCCCTGACACTGAACCCTGTCATATTGTACCTTTTGAACCCTGACACTGAACCCTGTCATGTTGTACCTTTTGAACACTGACACTGAACTTTTTGAACCCTAATCTCATTCACGTATACGCAGTAGATACTTAAATTTATAGAGTAATATATCTGTTATTATGGTGCAAATGATATTAGTCATATAAGTATTGAAACTTCACTTTGGATTACATGAAGATTAAACACCCCAACTTATTTCCCTCGATTAAATACCTAAAGTGGGTTAAGTTGGGTTGGGTTAAGTTAGGTTAGGTTAGGTAAAGTTAAGTTAGGTTAGGTTGGGTAAAGTTAGGTTAGGTTGGGTAAAGTTAGGTTAGGTTGGGTAAAGTTAGGTTAGGTTGGGTAAAGTTAGGTTAGGTTGGGTTAAGTTAGGTTAGGTTGTGTAAAGTTTGCTTTGATTGGGGTTAGATTAGCTTAGGTTAGGTTAGGGCTAGGATAGGATAGGTTAGCTCTATATCTTCGTGTGTGATAATAAGCTGGAGTGCCAAGTCTTCAGGTGCCTACAGTGCCATCACTATACTCTAAGGTCCCACACACTCAGGTTTCACTACGTCTCGACAAGGCTCACAGATGAAGTTTGTGATGTGTTGGTCAATCCACAAAACGAGACTGAGAAGATTATAGTGCCAGGATATATAATGATGCTGTGATATAGTGATGTGTTGTGTAGTGAGTTAGTAGCTGTCCTGGCCTACACGAGAGGAAGAAAGTGTTTGGTGAAGCTAGTAATACACACACACACATACACACACACACAAACACACACACACATACACACACACACACACAAACACACACACACACACATACACACACACACACACACACACACACACACATACGCATGAAATATCAGATTCATTAATAATAATTATTTGCTTTCACAATACAATTAGAGTTGAGTTTTTGCACAGTAAGTATATCATAATGTTTTATTTTAACTGAACGTAGAACAGAACATCATCAGGTTCCTCATTAATGCTGTATTTTTGCTACTAATTTATTTCATGGTATATTTTATCTCTATTATTATTATTATTATTATTATTATTATTATTATTATTTTTTATTATTATTATTATTATTATTATTATTATTATTATTATTATTATTATTATTATTATTATTTTTATTATTATTATTTTATTATTATTTTATTATTATTATTATATAAATACTGTACAATAATTTATTACATTTGATAATTATGATATATAACACAGTAAACACATTATTATATGCCGATATAAGCCACTCCTTGACAACCCTCGTGAACCCATATGGTCAAAAGTGCTGCCGTTATTATAATATTCTCCACACTCCTCCACAACTGAGAGAGAGAGAGAGAGAGAGAGAGTGAGTTAAAGAGAAAAAAAACGCGACCGAAATTTGGTGAAATATTAAAACACGAGGTAACAAGTCACCACAAATGATGATTGCAGTTAATTACATCTGGCGGTCGTAGTGTATAATCTCCATAAACCGAGCAGGGTTAATTGACCACCACCAGGTGATTAAATGTACAATACTGTGGAACTCTCGCTCGCTCCCAAAGATGAAAGTGAGGCCGATTAAAAGTTCTTAATTACAATAATAAGTATGGAAGGTGTGGTTCCGGGGCTGTGTGTTTGATCGTCATGAACCAGACTCCGGCGTTTCCATAATAACTGCCGGTTTAATAATAATGACCTTGTATGACATAGCTCCGGGGTCGTCGATCATAAAGGGAATATATTATCACACACGATCTTGGTGACCTGTCGATTTGGTGGTTTTATTATTGTTGTTTTTTTTTTGTTAATTGTTGTTATTATTGGTGGTTGTTATTGTTTATTGTTGTTATTGTTGTTTTTATTGATATTGTTGTTGTTTGTTTATTGTTGTTGTTTGTTTACTGTTGTTTGTTAATGTTGTTTGTTATTGTTTTTATTGATATTGTTATTGTTGTTGTTTGTTTATTGTTTATTGTTGTTGTTATTGTTGTTTTATTGCTGTTTGCTTATTGTTGTTGTTATTTTTGTTGTTATTGTTGTTTTTATTGCTGTTTGCTTATTGTTGTTGTTATTTTTGTTGTTATTGTTGCTTGTTTGTTGTTGCTATTATTGTTGTTATCGTTGCTGTTATTGTTACTTTTGTTTGTTTATTTATCCCACTCCTCGATGGTGGTGGTGAGGTATAGGAATGAGGTCCGTTCGATCGTAATTTTGTCTGTTAGTCCGTAATTCTCTCTTGTCAGTCCATAATTTTGTCTGTCAGTCCGCAATGCTGTCTTGATCCACTTTGCGATTTGACAGTCGATGAGATAATACATACATACATACATACATACATACATACATACATACATAGAATACTTAGCAATGTTACCTTGCTTTAAATTATTGCCTCTGTGTGTGTGAGGCTGTAACACTCAAAGTCGCATTATCACTTGCCTTGTATTATTATTATTATTATTATTATTATTATTATTATTATTATTATTATTATTATTGTCCTATTCTTATTGATCATTTTATGTAAACCAACCAAACCTATCCTATCCTATTCTATCCTATCCTATCCTATCCTATCTTAGTCTAACCTAACCTAACCTACTGCCTAGAGTAGCCTTATGCCTCTCCAAATGGTCACCACTAAACTATTGCTACGAGTCAGGGTTGTAGGATGAATTTATAACTTGGTGTTTGTAGTTATATCATGATGGTGTTGTAACCGGTGATGGTGTTGTAACTGGTGAGGTTGTTGTAACTGGTGAGGGTGTTATAACCGGTGATGGTGTTGAAACCGGTGATGGTGTTATAACAGTGAAAGTGAGTTATTTTCCAAGTAGATTATTGTTAGTTTAGTGAATAAGAAATAAAACCACTGTTGTAGATATTTCTTACCAACCACACGTAACACCTGGCTCACGTAACACCTGGCTCACGTAACACCAACTACACGTAACACCAACTACACGTAACACCAACCACACACAATACCTGGCTCACGTAACACCAACCACACGTAACACCTGGCTCACGTAACACCAACCACACGTAACACCTGGCTCACGTAACACCTGGCTCACGTAACACAAACCTCACATGAGTGTTTTTGTCCTCACAGGTAGTGTTGGCGCGCGCCTCGTCCGTGCTGTATCGCGCCACCCGCCGCCGCGCCTACTTCAGGAGCGTGACGGTGGTGGTGCCCGCCCACTGGTCGCCAACCCGATGCCCACGCCCGCTCAACGCCACCGCCGTGCCTACCACGCCACCCGCTATCACGGTAACGCGCCCTCACCCAGTCTACGCCCACACACCTTGGACCCTGCAGGTAGGCGGGTGTGGGCGGCCTGGTAGGAGCATATACCTGACGCCTCAGTACCTGGCCGACAGGAACTTCTCTGACACTCTTGGTGACCCAGGTGAGTGTTACTCTACTGATTGGTATTACTGAATGTACCGTATATCCGTGTACACAGTATATACTCCTCTCTCAATCTGGTCTGTCGTTTTATATACAGTATATATATACTGTGTATATAGATATTTTTTTCTTTCTTTTCTGACTAACTTCAACAAGTTATTGGCGCGTGACTAGTGATCTATTTCTACCTGTGCTGACGTCAAGGCCTTGTGTTATATATCGAAATTACTTTTTACAGCAGCTGTTGTTGTTATGTAATAATGTTGTATCAATTAAGCGGTTTAATATATGCCGAGTAAATTAAAGGTAAGTGTAATTATTCCCTTTGTTAATCGACGGTGGTATTGTTTATGTTATAGAGGGACGTGATGACAGGTAATGACTGCTATTAATATTATTATCATTGTACCCCCTTCCCCCTCCTCACCCCCAGGCCCCCCAAACCTTCCCCCCTCCCCCCCCCTCCCCGAGTGTCATGGTGGAGGAGGGTGTGGAGGGTAATTTTATCACCTGTGTTGTCTGTAGGTTAAATGGATGTGATATTGATTTTATTATTACGTGACCCGCATCTCCAGAATGAAGATAAATAAACCTGAAAGCCAATTTATTCTGATTCCTCATAATGTGAAGATCTGCCTCTCGAAAGTTGTATCAGTCGGTGAGAGAGAGAGAGAGAGAGAGATCATCGTCCCAACCCTAAGTGTGGGGGATGTTACCTTGGTGTTGATATTCTCTCTCTCTCCTCTCTCTCTCTCTCTCTCTCTCTCTCTCTCTCTCTCTCTCTCTCTCTCTCTCAAACATGGAGGGACGAGTGAAGGGAGCTCTACTCTATATCTCACTGGAGGTTTTTCCGCGGCTATTAATGTTGACATAAGATCTGGGTCGCCTGAGTTTTGGGTCTTCCCACCAGCCTCCTCCTGCAGCGTGATGACAGGGGAGGAGGGATGGTGATGAGAGGAGGTTATCGGCTTTTGGGGTGCTCGGTTTCAAAGATGGAAAGAAAAAAACAGAACTTAAGATGAATGATTTTTTGTCTTTCGGGAGTTGATATTCATTTTCCCGATTTTTGTTTCTGTACCTTGTCGCTCACGTCTCTCTCTCTCTCTCTCTCTCTCTCTCTCTCTCTCTCTCTCTCTCTCTCTCTCTCTCTCTCTCTCTCTCTCTCTCTCTCTCTCTCTCTCTCTCTCTCTCTCTCTCTCCCTTCACCTGATTCTCCCCCTTACAGTCTTTTACCTTCTCCTCCCCCTTATCCTTGCTTACCTGCTTTAACCCCAATCCGCAGACGAGGCGGTACAACCCTCCCTACGTCACTCGTATCAACTTAAACCTCCCCTTAAGGCAGGCAGTCTAACGATCACTACACCTTTGTCCTTACTTGCCTGCTTGAACCTAATCAAGCAGAAGCAGTTGATCAGCAGGCAACGTTATATGATCTCTCCCCCTTCTCCTCCGCCACCATCTCTCTACGGGGTTAAAAAGACAACATTGACCGCACGAGAACTTGAGTTTGTGTATCGAACGACTAAGATTGATGATGGTCGCAAAGTTAGCGCATAATGGTGGAGCCTGGCGGACCCTCGTCACTCTCCCCTGCACCTCCCTCCCTCCCTCCTATCTTCCTTCCTCCTTTCCTTCCTTCTACCTCTCTCCCTCCTTTTTCTCCCTTTCTTTTTCTGCGTCTCCCACCTTCCGTCTCGGCATGGTAAGTCCCGCCAACACACACACACACACATACATACATACATACGTACGTACATACATACATATATACATACATACATACATCATAGGGTGTCTTTCTTCTTTTTGTCACAGTCCCATCTCTTCTTTCTATTATACCTCCCTTTCGTAGTTTCTCCTCTTTTTCCTTCTCTTATCCCCTCCTCTTCCTCCTCCTCCTCCTCCCCCTCCGTCCCTCCCTGTCTGAGTCACGGCACGGCTGGTCTCTGGCTCAGAGGGCCGCTCAAGACCGAGGTGCTCTGAGCCACGTACATTAAGGCAGTGTCTGGCTCCTCCCCGCCTACAGGCACAGTGGATTGAGTCTCTCCTTCAGAGTGCCGCGTGGGACCCTGCCTGACGAAGCTCCCTCACATAATGGGAACCTCACATTGTGGTCACCCGCTAGATCCTCGCCCGCCTGCCCACAGCCCCGGCATATATCCTGCTTCCTGGGCCTGTCTCAACCACCACGTTCAGTATATCCTTCCTCATGGGCCCCTCACTGTATATATTCCTCCTTTTGTATATCTATCACCTTGTTGTTGACTTGTCCATCACCTCCAATAAGCTTGTTTCCTATCTGTCGAACATCTGTCACCATCCTCAGTTTCCATCCGTCTGCCAGCTGTCTGTCTGTCTGTCCGTCTGCTTGTTTATCTTTTTCTCTGCCTGTCTATGTTTCCGTTTGGCTGGCTGTCCGTCTGTGCCTGTCCAATATGTTTCAGCCCCCTGGTGTGGCGATATGTAACTTCTCAACTTAAGAGATGTGGTGAGTAAACAGTATTATTGCCGCCAACTCTACCGCCTCCTTCCAACGTGACCATCTCTTCCTCCTCCCTCCAACGTGGCCACCTCTACCCCTCCCCTGGCCACTTCTACTTCCTCCCTCCAACGTAGCCACATCTACCTCCTCCCTCCAACGTGGCCACATCTACTTCCTCCCTCCAACGTGGCCACATCTACCTCCTCCCTCCAACGTGGCCACATCTACCTCCTCCCTCCAACGTGGCCACCTCTTTTTTATCGAGTGCTCAATCTGAAAATCTTAATCAACTTAGTATATAAATTAACAAGCGTCAGCAATACTGTCAGTCATTCGGTGTCAATATAGAACATGGTCGGCGGATTTGTTACGACCACCTGACAGCGGGGAAGAAAAACTCTCTCGGTCAGTCAGTCAGTCAGTCAGTCAGTCAGTCAGTTAGTCAGTCAGGATAAAAATATTCATGTAGACTTTTTACTGATATTCATTTGATAGTTTTAGGATAGACTCGATAGAGGGACAGTATATTCTCATTAAAACACGGGTGGGTGTGTCCGTAGAGCTCTATAGTATAGTGGTTTGGTGTGGAGGTGGGGGAAGGGGAAAGGGAAGGGGATGTGGAGGTGGGGGATGGAGGGAGGGGTGTGAGGAGAAAGGGAAACGGGCGAAATAAAAGAGGGCGTGGAGGGAAAGGAGGGGTAAGCAGGGAGCAAGAGGGGCGGGGGGTGTTAAGAGGGAGGAAGAAGGGGAGGGTGAGGGTGAGAGGGAGGAAGACGGGGAGGGTGAGAGGGAGGAAGAAGGGGAGTGTGAGGGTGAGAGGGAGGAAGAAGGGGAGGGTGAGAGCGAGGAAGAAGGAGAGGGTGAGAGGGAGGAAGAAGGTGAGGGTGAGGGTGAGAGGGAGGAAGAAGGGAGAGAGGAAGAGTTAAGGTGGAATATTTCCCAAGCTTTTAACTCATTTTATTTCCTAGTAAATCTATTCAGTTTATCCGAAGCATGACGATGATAGTGGTATTAATAATAAACATGACACATAAATAGTAACACAATGCATTACTGATTCTATGACAACAAAGACGGGGAGAGAAAACACACACTCTCTCTCTCCCCCTCTCTCTCCCCCTCCTCTCCCCCCTCTCTCCCCCTCTCTCCCCCTTCTTCCCCCTCTGCTAACACTCTGAGCCTGGTATAATAATTTCATCCCGTCTTCTAAAATTAACACGACACTAAAACACACTAACACAGTAGTAGCCATTGTGTGACCTGCATCTCCCGTCTTAAACGTTCCCGCGCTTTGTGATTATTACTATTCTTCACACACAAACATGTAAACAAAAGTCAGCTGTTATTGTTATTGTTTTTTCCATCCTCGCAAGTCTAAAGGTTCCCGCACTTTTTTTTTATTATTATTTTACCTTTTTTTTTGTGAATTTAAAATATAAACGTTCGCTATTGTTGATATTTGCCATCTATATGAAGTCTACCGCTTGTGTATATGCTTTTATTTTGATGTATAAATAAACATCAAACTCAGTCAGCTCTTGTCTGGTCAAGCTTGGTATATGAACTCATAAAGAACTAACATGTGAACTGCAATTATTTATCTACTGTGTGCGTCAATATGCTATATTTTATTGTGTTTTCTTCATTGTAAATCTGAAACAATATAGCGAGAACTAACTCAATCTGTCAGGTGTTCTGGGATTGATTTTTTTTTCGGTGATAACTCTGTTGTACTTCATCACACACACACACACACACACATACACGTCCCTGAACGGTTAATACATACACAACTTATATAATCGGTATAACAGACACGAAATCTGATTGGTTAACAAAATTAAGCTCCGGTGTTCTGAGTGGTAGAAACAACTGCATAGAAACGAAAAAACGCATAATGTTAGAAAAAGCTTGAATTTACAGCCGGACGAATTTCAGAACCGGACCAGAAACCTAAATCCGGATTAGGTGAGCTTAACTGTTTAACAGGAAAACCTCATTATACCTGCGTGAGTGTGTGTGTGTGTGTGTGTGTGTGTGTGTGTGTGTGTGTGTGTGTGTGTGCTAAGATAATAGATGAACTTCGAGGGTTCTAAGGAAGATGGATTGCTTAAAACAGGGTTAGGCTACAGAACTGAAGTGTTTTAGATGGTGATGAAATTCAAAGTAAAATCCAGAATACGGATTAAAGAACTGAATAACTTAGGAAATATAAATGAAAAAAGGTGAATGAATGAGACTTAAGGGTTCAAATAGTTTAAGATTTATGAATAAATGAATAATCAAAACCATTTAACTGGAGAATTTATACAAAGATGAAAAAAAATGAAAGCCACGGAATGAACGATAATCCTAAACAAATGAAGGAATTAGGTACAAAATGGATGACTTGAGGAATAAAACACGTAGTAGACTGATAAAGGCTTGTAGGATCGAAGGAGTTAGGGAAGGAGGCTTGAGTTATAGGATACTGAGGATGAGGGACGAGGGGCGATAGGTTTAAGGAGGCTAAGTGG